TCTCTCTCTCTCTCTCTCTCTCTCTCTCTCTCTCTCTCTCTCTCTCTGTCCTTCCTGTCTGAGGTTTGAGATGTGAGCCCTCAGACTCCAGCCTCCATGTCTGACTCTTGCTCTCATGCTGTCTCTATCCTTATGGACCTTACTGGAACCATAAGCCCCAACTGAACACTTCTGTCTATAAGTTAATTGGCTATTGGGTTTTATCACAGAACAACAACAACAACAACAATAATAAAACTAACACCACCATAAAACAAAATATTAAAAAAAATCTACATATTATGGGAAAATATGTACCCAATGAGGATGGACACTGACTCAAGTGAAGTTTCTTCAGTTACAGGGACGGCTGCTGTATTCTCTAAAAAGCACATTTTGTACAAGTGTTAATGTGTTCCTTTCTCTTGGCTATGTATATTCTAAAGTCCCAAACACTCTTTCATATGATCTGGAGTTGTCACCTCTCCACAGAAACACTGTGCTAAGAAAGAGATTAAGCAGACAATGTGGTTAATTTACACTAGTGGTGATGAAGGAGGGTAACAGCCAGTCAGCAATAGATCACTTAATGAAAGTCTATGGACTTGAGGGAAAAGAGTTACCTTAAGTTCAATAGTATATTCAATAAAAGAGACCATGCTGATCAAAAGCAAAGTACACATGGTTTGAATAAACTCACTTGAAACTACTTAGTTATTACACATCCTTTTATTTCTTACTGTTTTGTCAGTCATGAATTACAGAATTGTTTGGAATTTGTTCAGTGTCTAGGGACCAGATTCAGAAGGTGTTAGGCTTTAAAGTCTACTTCCTGATTCAGTAATAATGTCAAATGAGAATGCCCCTGGTGCCATTCAAACATGATATGATTTCTTTAAGGGAACAAAGTCCTTACTGGAACTATTCACTTTTAACTAAATGGGGAAGGGAGCCCTCCATAATAGATAATATATAAAATAGTGTGTATATTAAAATAAAAAAGAACACAATTCTTAAAAACAACCTACAAGTTATCAAAGTCTTAGACATTAAAATAAACAGAACTGTGCTGCTTCTTACATAGCTAGTTTCTTATTTTATCTTTTCATGTATGCTGTGTGTGTGTCTAAATGATGTGTGTCTAAGTCAGAAGACAACCTCAGGTGCTGGTACTTTCCTTCCACTGTGTTTGCAACAGGGTTACCTTTGTTAAAGGTAACCCTCCTCTCCTGTCTCTGTCTTCCATCTCACATGGCCACACTGTATTGTTTTAATAAAACGCTGATTGGCCAGTAGCCAGGCAGGTAGTATAAGTGGGGTGACCAGGCAGGAAATAGAGTTGGGGCAACAAGAACAGGAGAATTCTGGGAAGAGGAAAGACTCAGTCTGCAGTTGTCATCCAGGTGCAGAGAAAGCAAGATGAAATCACCTCACTGATAAAGGCACTAAAGCACTAAGCCACATGGCTAACACAGACAAGAATTATAGACTAATTTAAGATGTAAGAAAGAGTTATTAATATGCCTGAGTTTCTAGGCCAACCAGTTTATAATTAATGTAGACCTCTGTTTATAATTAATGTAGACCACAACTGAACGGTTGTGGGACAGAAACATCCGTCAACACACTGGGATTAGGAACATGCCATCACGCCTGCTCTCACATGGGCA